GGGGGGGGGGGGGGTTGGGGCACATGCCTCCATTGCCCCCCGGTTCCGCGGCCCCCGAATATAAACACAATCCAGACGCAATATAAAATGTTCAAAATCTAAATAGTTTAGTAGTTTAATATTATATTAAGAAGCATCATAGCAGAAAAACTAACCAACTCAACGGTAGAAGTTCCAGGCTTTGGCTGTTTGATAGGCTTCCCTTGTCTTCTTCTGCAAGTGAAAAAGATGTTTCCTCGAGGTTCAGTGATGTTGGTCCAGTGTTCCTACGGGAGATCTTATTTTGACTTCGATTTGAAGAATAATATACTACGGTTTTTTGAACTGATAACTTGATTCCGAAGTTGATGAGAGGACTGGGGACGAGTGTTAAAAAGTGCCCAAATTAAGAAATGAACCAAATCACTAAAACGACCACCTCAAAATTAGTAAGTATACAAAGTTTGAAGACGTTTACATGAATACCCTTCGAATTAATAAGCTTTCGAAAATTCTGAAATTACTGACTAAAAGATTATTTTTTGGGACGCGCGTCCCAAAAACAAAATTACAATACATTTCATAGTAAATATCACGATTTTCGAAAGCTTATTATTCGAAGGGTATTCATGTAAACGTCTTCAAACTTTGTATACTTACTAATTTTGAGGTGGTCTTTTTAGTGATTTGGTTCATTTCTTAATTTGGGCACTTTTTAATACTCATTCTCAGTCCACTCATCAACTTCGGAATGGCTAATTAGCTGGGGAAGGTGGTATTAAAACTGTTTGCAACCTTCATGGCTGTTGGATGTCAATAGTCGCCGTCTTGGCTTCACTTTTTTCATAGGCCCAATGACTGAAATTCGTACTCCAGATATATATATAGAGAGAGCTCGCCAATATGCTACCAACACCTCTCATATCAAGTTAAAAGAAAAGGTATACTTCACCTGCTTCGCTTTGGAAACAACCACGGAAGTCTTGGGCTGCATTCGTTCAAATCAACCACAATGTTTCCTTCAATCATCCATTTCTTCAACACCTCAAACACATCGATAAGACATCGAGCATCCAGAGCTTGTGAAAGGCAAACAAACATAGTTCAAATACAGTCGAAGAGTTTCGGAGATGGAAATTTCGAGTTTGAATTCTGAACGTCCTGAAAGTTACGATATAATTCTTGTCCTGGTCACATACCTGCATATTCCACCTGTTTCGTTAGCAACGGTCGCTGTTCCCAGTCTGATAACTGATACGTCTTATCCAGAGGCAAGCCAAGACACTGTTGGACCAACAAGCTCAAACCCTTTTCACTTAAATGCCCAAAACTCGTTAAAGACTGCGTGGTTTTGTCCACTTTGATTTTGATCACTGGTATCTCAAACAGCTAAAGAATAGAAGAGAACAAATTTTATACTAACTTTACCTCAACTAGTCTAAGAGTCGAACTTATCAACTAACACAAAGCTATCCAGTAAAAATAAAGTTAGGTTAGTTAGTTTTCCTCGTGTAGTAACACTGAATCAACAAGAGATGGCCCTTACTGAATCTATAGAACGAACAGTTTAGAACTGATAAAGCTATCCAGTATAAATAAAGTTGGTTTTTGTTGTTGTTTTTTTTTTTAATTCGCCCAATTTGATTACAAAAATTTTGATTATTATATTTACATGTTTAGGGCTAGGGGCCTACTAGAAACCATCAAAAGGCTTTTGATTAAGACCCCTAGTTACATTTTAAATTACAAAATAAGGATCCTATTTACAAACAAAACTAGGTGACAGTGCTTCAAGTGAGGTGCAATATGATAAAGTATTTACATATAGTGCTACAGTAAATAAAATGTTATGATCACAAAAGTGTATTATTATTAATTTATATAAAATTTGATATTGCAGATGTTGTACAATTTGGTAGTAGTTTTTCAGTTATTCAGTATGTAGTATTTACTCTTGTTTAGTTTAGTTTAGTTTAGTTTAGGTTAGTTTATAGTTTAGCTTAGTTTAGATTTCCTCCTTTAGTAACACTGCACCAGTAAGGGATGAGTCTTCCTGGACCTCTAGAGAGAACAGTTTAGAACTGATAAATGAAGGATTTTTGTAGATGGAAATTTCGAATTGAAGATTATACATATACAATTTTAGACCTAACCAGAACCAGTGGGGGAAAATGCAACCATAGACCCTCTGGCAGGAATCGAACCTCCGGGCTACGATTCCGGTGCAGTGCTCTAACCAACTGAACTATAGGGTCCAGTTGTGACTCTTACACATGTAAGACAATGGATAAAATTAACTATATAGTCTTGCCTGCTGGCTCAAGGTGCACAAGTCTACAAAACGTTTCATCTTTTTGATGGACCTTTCAAGGATTGGCAAGGTGGTAATCAGAGCTTTGAAATCAGATTCAACACCATATCCTACAACGCAATAAATTAAATCAATATTATTTGTGAAAAGTAACTCCAGGGAGACAACATCGTATAGAGAAAACAAAATTTTCGTGACGCAGTCTTCAGAGCAGTTGGGTTCGAACGGACTCATGTGAAAAGAGTCGGTCAACGCCCCGCCGAAATTCGGGTTGCTCCGGTTTCCTCCCACAGGGAAAGTTGACAGGGTGGGTTAGGATAAACACAGTTAAGAAAGTTGTCTATATAGGCTAAGTATGTAGATACAGATACATATATTACACAGCACACTCCCTATCAGGGTTTTTCAGTGACTGGTTACACTAGAACCGGAACTGGCGTGAAGCAAACCGAGGTAGACTGTGAACGTACAAATGGCGCTTTAAGCAGCCGCTATTAGTCCATACCTCATTAATGATCTGCTCCCTGACCCAAGTGCCTAACCTACCGTGTCAACTTTCCCTGTGGGAGAAAACCCACGACTTACGACAGAGCGTCGACTTTTACTCTTTTCACATGAGGACTGGGTTCAAGTCACATTGAGAAGTTCTCACTGAGGCTTGAACCAGCGGCCTTAGAAGTGAAAGGCAAGTGCGCTAGGCACTTCGCCACCGAAGCCCCAACTAGGTAAGCGTATAATAGTTGATGTAAAGCACATTTGATCATACCCACACGTAAATATGCGCTATAGAAATGCTAATCATAATCGTAAAACAATGTTTGTGAAACAGTAATCGCACTTGCTCACCTAGTTTCAGAACGTTTTCGTTGGCAAAAACAGCGTTTCCAAACGCCAAAATCAAACCCTCTGGTACTTGTTCAGCCAGGGCGATAATGTCCAAAATAAAAACTCGGTCTCGAAGTGACAATTGAACGATGGACAATCTGAAACACATAAGGCACATCGGAAAATGAGATTAAATGAAGACGAAGGTTGGTACTTTAAAAACCCTACCAGAACATCTAGGGAGAACAATTTAGAACTGATAGAGCTATCCAGCGTAAATAAAGTTAGTTTAGTTTAGGTTTCCTCCTGTAGTAACACTGGATCAATAAGAGATAATCCTTACTGGACCTCTAGGAGGAACAGTTTAGAACTGGTAGAACTATCCAGTATAAATAAAGTTAGTTTAGTTTAGGTTTCCTCCTGTAGTAACACTGGATCAATAAGAGATGATCCTTACTGGACCTCCAGGTAGAACAGTTTAGGACTGATAGAGCTATCCAGCGTAAATAAAGTTAGTTTAGTTTAGGCTTCTTCCTTCTAGTAATATTGGATCAATAGGGGATGACGAGTATTACTGGATTCTTGAGCGAACAGTTTAGAAATGATAGGGCACAATGCAGTACCTCTGTGCCAAGCCAGCCTGACACATCTGTGGTTTCCATTCAGCATCAAATCCTATTGTCACTCCATGCTAAAGTTTAAAAAAAACATTAACAATCTGTTCCATTCTCCTCTTTTTCTGTTTGTCGAATCTGTATTTTCCCATACAGTATGTTGTATAACTTTTTGTCGATTTTTTTAGCTCATACCTTAGATAAAGCTCTCTGGCACGAACGCAATGATTCTGTATCGTCCACAAAATATATATTTTGCATCGGTATTTGAAGGGTAAGATATTTCACGCTTGTACGATATCGTTCTTCCAAAGGTTTCTCAGGGAAGACAGATTTTTTGTGATCTTGTTTTCTTCCAGCATAATCTGAAAACACCGTTTCGTTTTCTTTTATTTCGTTTTCCCAATCTTCTTCATTTGACTCGTCGCTGAGAAAGGGAATAATATATGAATTAAGCTGCCGTAGTTGGTATCTAAAGTACACGAGGAGATTAGACCTCTACACGCGTAAAAATCTCACATCTTGTGGCAAGTCTGTCAACAAGCCGTCAACAAGTTGTGTTCGCACTGCTTGTCCCAAGTTGTCAACAAGTTTGGAACAAGCTGTTGTAACATCTTGTAACAACCTTGTTGCGATAACAAGTTGTTGGAACAACTTGTAAACAAGGGTGGGTAGTAGCGAAGTAGTTGTATAGTTCGCTACTGTAGCGAACTACAATTTTCAAGTAGCCAGTAGTTTTTGACTACTTTTTTAAAACAGTAGTTGTAGTTATAGCGAACTACATTTTGCCTAAAAGTAGCCAAGTAGTTGACTACTTTTCAAACAGCGAATCGCTATTCGCTACTTTTTAAAATTGTTAGCAACCGTTCATAGAATATAATGATATTAAGACACGGTTTGCTTAAAAGATTATTTTATACAGTAAAGATTATTTTAGCGCATTGAAAAGTGGCACTCCTGAACACTGTATATAGTGCTTACAAAAATGTTGGTTTGACCCTTTTGTTTACTGTTGCTACTCGTAAGTCGACTTGTTATAGGTTAAATTACAGCCTGAGCCCAAATACCGTAAAACTAAAAAATATAGAGTAGCGAAATAGCGAAATAGTTCGCTACATTTTTTAAGCAGTAGCTGTAGTCAGTAGCGAACTACTTTTGTTCAAAAGTAGCAGTAGTTGTAGCTGACTACATATTTTTGAAGTAGCTGTAATTATAGCGAACTACAAAAATTTTGTAGTCAACCCACCCTTGCTTGTAACAGGTCTGTTGAGCTCAACAACCTTGTAGCAAGTTGTCAACAAACCGTTGACCACTTGTCAACAAGCTGGGAACAAGCAGTGCGAACACATCTTGTTAACAAGTTGGAACAGCATTGCTACAAGTCGGCTGCAGGTTTGTTACAACTTGTGCGTTTTTACGTGTGTAAAGTTTCATTCATTCAATTTCATTCATTGTTGAATTTTTTCAGCCTAGATTCGAGAATTAACCATACTGACCAACATCTGCCCTTAATACTCACTTTGGTTTTGACAATTCCTGATCTCTCTCTGAAGAAAGTAGATAAAATCTTTCCCATCTCTTGGCCTCTTCTTTGTCTCCGAACTCAGTAAGTAAATCAACAAGGCTTTGTTGTAGTACAGTACTGTTGCCCACACAACGCTACGAGTGAAATAAAGTGCCATAGACTCAATTCAACTGTACTACAATCATCATTATCCTTTTTACTGCCATACAAGCAAAACTTCCATCATCCCACCACCACCCTTATCACAACAATTATTACCATCATCAATACCATCATCCTCACCACCAGCATGACCACAACTACCATCAGCACCACCATCATCAGCACCACCATGATCACAATTACAATCAAGAAAAATGAAAATATTATGATAAAAAATATTATGAAAAATGTCGACAGAATAAACCATGGACCGTGCTCAGTGGCGTACAATGTTCGCCAGTGAAAATTTGAAGGAAACCTTAATACCCATGTACCACTATGGGCGCAACAACATATGGTTGACAGATATTATTCCTTGAATTTAAAACCATGGTCAGCTAAAACACTATATGTTTATGCACATGCAGATTTAGCACAAAAATACTCCGTTGGTCTGCAGGAAATTTTGTCTCCACGTTGTGCTCCCGGGAAGAGAATTCTTTTTTCCTGCTCTGGTCAAAAATTACAGTTCATGTAACATGGCTTTAAGGGAGAGTTCATTATTAAACGTACCACAACTGTAAAACTAAAATTATACTTCACCTCAATCAAGTCATCCCACTTTTTACTTGATCTTCCTTTCTATAAAGTTAATTGTAGTTGCAGGGGTGGAAAAAATAGGCGAGCACGCGAGCACTGCTCGCAGGAAATGTTAAACAGCTGCAGGAAATTCGTTTGAATGACGATTTGCTATTGAAAATTTGAAGGAAACCTTAACACCCATGTCCCACTATGGACGCAACAACATATGGTTGACAGACATTATTCCTTGAACTTAAAACCATGGTCAGCAAGAACACTATATGTTTATGCATATGCAGATTTAGCACAAAAACACTCCGTTGGTCTGCAGGAAATTTGTGTCTCCAGGTTGTGCTCCCGGGAAGAAAACTCTTTTTCCTGCCCTGTGTAGTTGTAAAATAAAAGTATTGTCGCGTAGCAAGTCTTAAGCAGCTTGGTCACGTCACACGTGAGGTAAAATTAGAAAATCATATCACACTATACTGGAACAAATGTACTCGCTTTTCACAGCTCATATTTTTTCACCCTCAAATGACACAACATCAACTAGATATATTTATGTCACATAAAACTTATTACACACATACGTCTTTCTGTCGCTGATGAAGTAGATACGATAAACCTTTCACGTTCTTTGCTTTAAATAATTCCGGGAAATCATCTGTAAATTGAACGTACACAGAATAAAAGACCAATTTACGCTACCAAAACCAACCAGCTACACCCTCAGTTAAGATCGTTTTCCACTTTAAGCGTACCGTACCGAAACGTATAAAAAATTAAAAATTTTAGTGAATGTCAATGGACCATTCCCCAATTAACCAAAATTTTAATCTTAACTAGCCTAAACAAAAATTTCAAAGTAATATTCCAAAGTTTCGTTACAAAATGTTGTAAAATGCGGATAATATAGCCTTGCAAAGTTTGTAATTTTCAGTCATTTTGTATTACGCACAGAAGTGGTAACCATTTCCCGTTTGTGTCTAAAATGACTGAAAATTGCAAACTTCGCAAGGCTATAAGCCTATATTATCCGCATTTTACAACATTTTGCAACGAAACTTTGGAATATTACTAATTTTGTGATGCTCTTTCAAGCTGTGATGAAATTTTTGTCTAGACTTGTTGAGATCAAAATTTTGGTTAATTGGGGATTGGTCCATTGGTTAATACTTCCGTAGTACGCCAAAGTATTATGTGAATTTTTCAACCCATTTTCAACCTGCACATGTTCACCAGTACGTTTCGGTACTGTAGAGGCGACGTGGAAAACAGGCTTTAGCATGTATTTCAGTATTGCAGTTCAAGAAACTAAACCAGTTGAGAGTTAACTGGTGACAAATTCTGTTTCTGTGGTGTGAAATGTACAAGTACAATCTCAACACTTTCGCATGAACTTGTAAAAAGCAGAATTCGTTGGAACTAGATAATTATATAATATTTTTCACTGGACTCAGACCAGATATTATTAGAGATGTTGCTTCGTGACTGCTGTACCTGGATTAAGGTTGAATTTCTTGACAATTCTCTCTCCTAATTTTGTTAAAGAAGCTTGAGTTACCTTGTTACTGGAAGGTTTGGCTGGAATAATTTCACTACAGAATGCAAATGATCAATGTACAGTGGAATGTCAAATGTCTACTTAACTAAAACTAAACTAACTTAATTTTTTTGGATAACTCTGATGTCTAAGTAACTCTCTCCAAAATTTTATTTATAGTGGATATCTCTATCAGGCCTAAACTATTTTCCATGCTTGTCAAAAACTTTCACTGTTTGTTAGAATGAAACATTCTTTTCACAATTGCGACTGAAGTGACAGGTGTATGTTACAACAAGAACAAACGCTTTAAAATTACATTGTAGATAAAAAATACAAAAGTGTCACTGTGTCAGGCATACCTTGTTAGTTCATCAAGCTGTTCATCTGACATGACGCACAATTTGTCCAACATACTAACGAAGGCTCGTTGCTGCCAAGGACAGTTGGCTATATAGCTAGTTCGAGTAGATTTGTATATAGTCATTGATTTAGACGGATTTATTCATTGAAATACAGTACTAATTGACTGATCACTGAACACTCTTATTGATTAACCTTCTGCTGGTTGATTGAATTAATGATTGATTGAATTATTGATTTGATTGATTGAATTATTGATTTGATTAATTGAATGACTGTTTGGATGATTGATTGAACTATTGATTGGATTGATACAGGTAGAATGACAGTCTGACTGATTAATTGACTAATCTGCATGTATTGGTTGCTTAACTAAGTTAGTCTATTGACTAAATGATTAACTAATTGATTACGTGGTTGACTGATTATAAACTTATTGATAGATTCATTGGATAATTAAATGATTATTTGATTGGAAGAGATTGAAAGAGCAATTGACTTGCTGATCAATTGATTGACAGGCTGATTAATAAACATACCTATAGGATATACTTAGATCTTCATTGATTGATCAATTCATTAATTGGTAAACAGATTAATTGACTGAGTGACAGATTGATCATTAGACAAACATGCAATTAATTACCTTTCAGCAAGTTGAACCTTGTTTAATATCACAAGTGGGAACAATATCTTTAAAGCAATAATAAATGAAACGTTAGTCATGCAAAATACTGTAACATTAGTCATTGCAAAATCCAAATTGATGAAACTATTTAAATCTGTACCGCACCTCCATTGGCTGAAAGCAAGGCTGTAAATTGAGTTTGCAAGCAATAGTGACGGCCTATAAATTATGAAATAATTGCAGATGACTTCACAATATTACAAAAGAGGGAGGCTTAATAGAGAATCCATCGTAAATAAAAACTTTATAACTGATAACTGACCTCTTTATAACGTTTTTTACTCTGCAAAAGATAATAAATATGTCGTTGAAGATATTCATTTCCCTTGCTGTCAAGATCGAAAATTTTATTGCACAAATCAAACAAATAGAGCTTGCGAGTCGTGACAATCCATAGGGCACGATCTTTCTCCATTTCAGTAGGAGCCACCTCGGCAAACAATCCCTCGCTTCGCCACTTATCGAACTGTGTTAAAGCGACATGAGCTAACGACTTCTTTCCTTCAAGCATGTTTGCGTAATGGTTCTCAACAAGATACAGCAGAAACGAATATGGAGGCGTGCAATTTAATGTCTGTTTAAGCTTATCCAAAAATGTCGGTTTGTCCTCTTGTGTAAATACAGCTTCAAGATGGGTAAGTCTTTCCATATAATCCCACTGAAACATATTTTCATAATCAAACGCTTGGTCAGAATTCGGCATCGACGGTTCACTTGAAATGTCGTGTGGAATTGAATCCTGGAAATTGGTTAAAATGTCTTTCACAATATTAGGTTGAATTGTACTTTCATCACTTTTAGAACTAGTTTCACTCCAAATGTATCCATCTGCACAATCTTGCTCATCACTAGGAAAGTGATGGCTCAGACTTGTGTTAGGGTTACTGACAGGGTCGTAGCTTTGTTTACCATGCTGTGAGTGGTGCTTAGATTTAACTTGAGCTGAATTATAACCCACCTCTCTTTGTTTATATTGACGGCTATTTTGATCAGAGATGTAGTTTCCTTCATTCAATTGCAGTTCAGACTTCCTTTGGGGTAATGCTTTTGCAAAAATTTCATCGTCAAAATACTGTTTTTGGGGAGAACTTGGGCTGTTCTGAGAAGAAAATCCACGATGTACGTTAACATTTTGTTTTATCTCAGAATGTGCTGTGTTTACGGTTGATCCAGTAATTTGAGTATGAGTTACCATATTATATTCACATAGGGGTTCAGACGAGTATGTTGCTGTCGATGACATGGAATCAATTTCTGTATCCCAGTCCTCGGAATCTGATATACGTAAACAGTCGAGCATAAGGTCATTGCTGACAGAAGGTTTGTGACTGTCATGTGGAGATTCATACATTGAATCAACCATGTTAGTTGTCGGCACATGTTCAAAGTTTGCGCTTTCAGCTATGTGGAATTCGCTTTCATCTATATAATTTATGGGGGATAATGAAAAATGAGTTACATATTACAGTCAAATATTACCCTGTATTAGGCAGTTATTTGTGATATCTAGCCATGGGCATACAGGAGGGAAAAAATTAGGGGGACTTTTCCCCATTGTGCCCGACTTACTGAAAAGAAAATTTCCGCGAAAACTTTCCAAAATTGTTGTACTACTACTTCTACTATATTTCATATGTCTTCTTTTTAAAGTTTTCCCCCCAATATTTGCCTGACTTACATCTATAATTTGCCCGAGTTCATTTTGACTGGGGGGCAGCTGCCCCCCTTCCCCGTACGCCTATGGATATCCCCGAAGGTGAGTAGGTGACTGCTTAATACAGGTTCAACAGTACTATAACTACTATTAAATAGGGGTGCATTTATGTGCTTTTTCCTGCACCAAGATTTTCACATTTCAAAGGCTTTCAGTTTACAATGTAAATATAACCATCTGCACATAAAATTACGCGACACAATGCTTATATATCAGTAATAAAACAATTCTACACAGATTATTGTATAAAGTAAATTCATCAACTGTAACAAACTGAAACTGCATGTTTTTTATGTAACTTATATATGTTCATATTTTTCAAATTAAAACTTTCATACATACCTACAGCTTTGCCGTCTTCTTGCGAATTTGTGGTAAATATTTCACTTATCCAAGAAGCAATATGCACAAGATTAAGCATGAATTAATGGTTCGGTTTAACCTCTTATAAAAATCTTTTACAGTAAAAACACTTTAAATTTTAAATTTGTTTTGCTTTTGCAAAATGCAAAACATCAATGCAAAACACGTGTGTTGTGTGGGACAGTTAGGGTAATCAGGGTACATCCATATGCATATAGGATTATGTTAGATCATAAGTACTTTATCAGATATAAACACGAGGCGACAGCCGAGTGTCTTGTATCTGACAAAGTACGGACTGCGAGTGTTTTAAATGGCTTAAAAAACGACCCATCTCATAAGTTCATTGCCGAAATAAAAATCAACGTTGTCTAAGCCTAACAAAGCTAATCTTTATGTAAATTACAGTTATAACATGATTTTTTAACACATAAAAGATAACACCACCGACAGAATTATCGAGTTTTTTAACGTGATATAACCCAAAGGACCGTTGACTCTCGAGGCACAGAGCTTAGCATATAATTTACTGTAAACTGACGTTATTTATACTGGATATGTCTGTCAGATCTAAACTGTTCTCCTTATATAAACTATACTCATTTTATTTAGACATACACTTTGCACTACTATATCTAATGCTGATTTTGTAATGTATATTTGTAATTCAAATTTGCTAAAATACAAAATACATATATATTTCTTATCTATATACAACTCTTAGGACACATTACAAATCATCATAGCTCTTGGTATATAAACTTTTATAGACATTTTTGACAATAATTATTCTCTAGAGTACGTAATATTTCAATACACTTTTACTTACGGGACAACAATTTTCGCTTATAGCGCAAGGCAAAAAGGTGGTTGCCAACTTCAATACTTATGATACAGTATATGAGCAAAAAATAGTTGTATTACATACAGCATAAGTGATGTGCAAACAATCCCATGGGATTCAAAAGACAAAGAGATTTTCGCCATGTTCCATGATATTTGCATTGCAAACAAGCAAAATCCTTTGTCAATGTCATCCGACAGCCAGACGGTGACGTACAACCATTGACAACTTGCACACCACCATGAAAATACATCATTTTCTCTGCCGGTCGACCGCCATCTCATGCGTGATGGTGCATTGGTGCTTCAAGGCATCCATCTATACGGGTGTGAGACTTCTGAAAAGTCTAGTTTAAAGTGCAACCCAGCACTGCAATTATAATACACATATATATATACTATCATTATCAAAAACACAGATATCAAATCTACAGATCTGTATTAATGTAAGAATAGTAGTCATCGTCACAAATGTTAACACTCTTAGGAGCGAACCTAACTTTGGAATACTTGAACCAATACTGTCTACAGCTTAAACTTGTTACAACTTTGTTGACTCAACAACAGTGGTGGATTTAGGGGGGGTGCGCACCCCCCAGGCTCTTGTCAACAGGGGTGCATGGGGGGGTGCAAAAATGACGTTTATCGTAATTCTAACCAACTTATGTTAAGGAATTCAGTTGCGCATCACTAGTTGACAATAGCGGAATAGCCATGGCATATTAAATATTCTGAATTTTTAAATGTTTTTGAGAATCTAAAAATTTTCCAGAATGTTTTCTCAGAATGTTGGAAATGCCATTTCAGAGACCCAAATTTAAAAAATTTTCCGGGGTAGTAAGCCCCCGGACCACCCTAGAAATCTCGCGCCTTCGGCGCTCGTTTCGCCATTGGTTAGCACCCCCCCCCCCAAAAAAAAAACTTTGCTGGATTCACCACTGCTCAACAAGCGTGTTACGAAGTTGTTTTAACAACTTGTTCTATCACAACTTGTTATCTAACAAGTAACAACTTATTAACAAGTTGTGAGTGACAACCCTGTAGCAAGTTGATAAAATATCAATATCGTTATAGTACAACTTGTTGACAAGTCCGTTGCGAACACATCTTGTTGAAAACATGTTACACTTTTATGTGTGCAGTTGTAAAGACGTGGATTTGTCACAGATATTACATACCTCCGAACGCTATAGTACATATACACATCTCCTCATTTTGGTGTATATAAGAACTCGTTGAGTCGCGTATTAACGTTGAAATAGTCTGCATGAGTGACATTTAAAAAGAACAAACGCTCGGTGATTTTCGTACTGATCGACCGAAGTTCGGGCAAACGCAACAGGACGTTTCCAAATCTGTTGGGTTGACCAGGATAATGATGTGTAATGTACTCCTGCATGTTTGTGTGGACTTGATCTTGCAGTCTCTCGATCAATTCTTGATTCTGTAAACCTCTGATGTCTTGAAAAGAAAAAGTTCAAAATTCTAGTCATGGCCAGGGCGGGGAAAAGAATTTTCTTCCTGGGAGCACAACCTGGAGACAAAAATTCCCTGCAGACCAACGGAGTATTTTTGTGCTAAATCTGCATGCGCATAAACATATAATGTATATTTTCCGCATTTTACAACATTTCGCGGCGAAACTTTGCAATTTTACTAATTTTAACCGATGCTCTTTCTAGCTGTGCCTTGTGGTGATGGACTTTGTTCTTCTTGCCTAGATCAAAATTTAGTCTATATATAGCTAGAATCATCCATTAGAAACGTCGAACTTAATTGTTTCAGACATCCAACTTTGCAGGTACATAATTCAAGCTTTTGAATTCGACACTTATAAAATGCGACGTTTGAAACAGGCCGAACACTAACCTGGATTCAACAACACTATGATCGTCAAACAAACATATTCTTCTTCGACCAACTTCAGTTCATTCAACTTTGACGACAGTTGCAAAACTCTCTGCGCGATTTCTCCAATTCCAGCTACGCTCGCCGTCTCTATGTCCAAAAAAACTCCGTCGCCCAGCAATAGACTATTGCCAATGTTCATCGACCTTCGAGCCATTCCGAACGCTAGTATCTCCATTAGCGAATTTTGCACCAAAACGTTTCGATCTTCCACGCCGATTTCGGCCAAAAATTCAAGTCTTTCAAACCAGCCCAACACCTCTTCAATTTGCCAGTCGGCAAGTTGGACGACATAGTTTATAGTTTGTGCTTTCACATCGGTTATTCGAGCGTCTTTGTTGAGTGGGGGGATAGTTAGGTTGCTGATGGCCAAGAATTTCTCGATAAGTGGGTTGGACCAATAACCGATCTGCACCACCTGTGGAATGTCCTCCAAAGCAGGGATTTTTATTTTGAGCAGGTTTGAATTCTTGTGTTTACCGCCTGGGGTTCTGTCTTCACGAACAGCTGAAACAGGCAATTAACACATTATGCGTTAATTGTCAATTGACTAACAGGGTGACAATTAGTTACTAAGTAACAATTACCGCTAATTAGAAACAAATCTAATAATTTGTAACGCTTTGTAACAGAAAGGCTTTTGAGTCCGATTTGGAGAAAATGTGCACAAGCGAGTTTTAAAGCAATTCAAATTGTACAGATCTGAAATAATGGAGTCTCACGTTTTGAAAATTTTATGAGAAAATGTGTCTTTGCAAATTGCATGAGAATATGTGCTTTTTATATTAGAAAACGTTTAAAATACAAACCACAATAAATAACTAATTAGCAATCGGTAATTACTGTCGTTCCAATTGAAGTGTTGCTGAAATATTGATTCAATACATTACCTCGGGCTGACCAATTCATTTCATCAAGTTCCTCGAGATATTCATACACTTCCTAGTATAATTGTAAACTTCCTGTTGCATAGTTTGAATGCACCAATCACCTTTGTTGTTTGTGCAGCTAACCAATCATAAATAGAAAGGAAGTGACCAGAAATGATCAAATACTTGGAATTGGCTCTTTCACAGGAAGTGCATGAATATCTCGAGGAACTTGATCAAATGAATTGGCCAGCCCGAGGTAATGTATTGAATCAATATTTCAGCAACACTTCAATTGGAACGACAGTAACTAATCTGTAGTTAATAGTAACATGGTCTACATTAGTAACATGGTCCGGTCCGGACCCCCAGCCCATTCCCCCCTGCGGCTATGCCTCTGGTTCTATCAAGTTAAGTACAATATTTTACAAGGGTACATCTGTATTTGCTAAACAGTGGCGGAAATTCACTTTTTCCGGGGGGGGGAGGGCAAATCCTCCTAAATTTACAACAAAACTTTCAAATTTCCAATACACACACCCCCCATTTGCACTTGAAAAGACTGTTTTTAGCCCTCTTTTAGGTCAAAATTTCCGAAAATTCATCAATTTCCGCCCCACCAAGATTTCCGCCACTGTTGCTAAAAAGACGCTGACACAGTTAATACTAAGACACACGCTGATCAGAAATTAAGTCTAATGTTCATACCTTCTTTTAGCATACCAGCAGCAATGCATTTCTGATAGCGACAAAACTGGCAACGGTTTCTATGTCGTTTATCGATTGGACAATCTTTCGATAAATTCCTACACGTGTACACTTTTTTGTTTTGAACAGTTCGTTTGAAAAACCCCTTACACCCCTCGCAACTCGTTACTCCATAATGATTGCCTGTCGCTTTGTCGCCACAAATCACGCAAACCGTCGGTTGATTGTCGGCACTTTGAACTGAATCTTGGTCTTTGTCCGAGGTGGGCGAACTTCCAAACGTGCCGATAGCGGTTGGTGAATGACTAGTGGTTTGGGTAACAGGTGTACTTGGCGACATTACAACATTCATTTGCCTTGTATGACTCGAAGTCATTGCTAAGCAAGGTGCACGTTCCTTCGCGCTCTCGCTCATTACCTCCACTTTGGGTTGATTAACAGTGTGTGGTGATTGGGAGAAGTTAAAGTGGCTCCCTGAAGTGCTAGGGTTTCCCCCTGAGGTGTTGGACATGTTTAGGTGCGACGTTACCGGAGGCCCAGTTGGGGATAGGGGCGATAGGGGGGACATGGTCTCTTCTTTGGTTACGATTGCAGGCATAGATTTTTTTGCCGGACTCGGACCATCTTGATCACTGCTTCCTGTTGGCTCGGGTATTGTGGACTGAATAACTGACTCGTAATATGGATATGATTTTTGATATGGAATTGATGCATTGTTCGAGGGTATGATAGGGTAGAAATATGGGTTAGGGTAGTGCATCGGGAATGATAGTTGCTGTGCTTGGAGGTTTACTGGAAATGCAAAAGCTGTCGCAGGAAGCATGGGGCGAGGGTGGTAGAAGTGCTGTGTGAGTGTGGTGACGGGTGTCCCAACCGAAGGTGTATATGCCGGGATTTCATGGTTATCTGAAACAAGTAAATTAAGTTATAACCAAGGGTTGCAGCATTAAACCTTAAATGGGTGGTTCCAGAAAAGATCCACACTCCCTCGAAGGAAGGAAATTTCTGCGGTCGGAGGGGAAGGCAATAAATATTTGTCTCTCATAATAGTCAGAAGTCATAATTAGGACATCCAAAGGGGGTAGAGGGGGTTAACTTCCAATTTCCTGGGGGAGGTATGGATTTTTCTGGAATGACCCAATTTTCAACAAAGCTAGGGAGTGGCAAATTGCTCTCTTGGTCTAATAAGTCTCCAATTCTCTTGCAGGAAAACAAATTTCATTAAACCACTGATCAACTGGAAAAATTCTGTTGTAAAATTTTATAACTGAACCGGGAACACAAAGACATACTCGTTTCTGAATAGATCCTAACATTTACGATTCTGAACAAACTAACAGGCTATTACAACAAACCCACACAGCAAATACAAAGCAATGACAAATTTTATTTGAGAACCACGATGAAATCTGTTTGTCTTTAATAGTTCATCATATATTTTTTGGTTTGTGCATCTTAAAACTGTTCCAACTAAACTGCATATACTTTACAAATATTGTAATCCTCGAGAAAAACCTCTTCCCAAGATCAGCAAGATCGCTTTTCCGCCTTTCCGTTCGTGTTAAATATCAAAACCGAAAGCACATATGAACAAAATAAACAGACATTTATACATAATTTTGCACGTCAAAATAAAAACTAGCATTTTATCTACTTTCATAAACTATTATGTCTGAACTTAATAGCTTCATTACAGACTTTTACAAAACGTAAACAAATTTCGTTAAATATATTATATTATAAACCGATTTAATTTTAGCAATTTTAATACGATATAGCCACGGTAATATATACTGTGCAGAAATATTGTATATTCTAGCCAAGTACAATAATATATAAAATATAATAATACCCACTTATTTCCGTAGCATGCTGTATCATACTGTATTGTACGTTCTTAAGATTATTCGGTACAATTGAATTTTCCCCATTAGGGGTCAAGGTAACCTACAGAATTTGTAACAATTGCAAGCCGAAATTTTAAAATATTACACGCTATATATTTTGACTGCGACAAACATCGATTTTCTCCTGTTGAGCATTAAATCGAAATTCCTCGCAAAACAGCGCAAAACGAGGCCTTTCATTCCTTCATACAAAGGCCTTACAGGTTTCCACACATGCTTCAAATTTGCGGGGCAACATAAACGGAACTGTAGCCTGGGCAATCTTCATAAGTTGCATTTATAATACGGTGTGCTGTTGTTTTGAATTCTGGAACGTTCAGCATCGAGCGTTATTTTAGCCATAAAACCACACATACTCACCGCCTAACTCTGCAGGCTGTGTATTTGTAGTGTCGGTCATTGCTGTTCGCAGCTTCTTGTCCGATTTTGTTTGTTTATTGCGCCAAAAGTTCACGATGTTCGGATAAACGTGTGTCGATTCAAATTTGTAATTTCTGCCCTTCGAACTTCAACTTGAACCGAACGTAGGTCAAGGAACTCGCAAATTATTACCCAGTATGCACCGGACTTAAGCAGCGGGAAAACATACCCGGGGATTAGTATCATACAGAATTTCCCGGTTTTTCAGTTCCTCTTCCATTAAAATAAACTTTAGAAGCCTTATTCAAAGCTAACTTGTACCTTAGGTGTAATAATTCTTCACTAATATTTACGAAAATACACATTTTCTTTGAAAATTGAATGTCAGTTTAATCGCGGAAGTGATTTTAAACCCCACGAATTTAACCCCCGGCGAAATGCACTCCAAAGCTCAGGTTAACAATTCAATATGGCGTCCTGAAAACCGCAATTTTTCGTGGTTTTACTGCAAATATAATGTACAAATGATGTTGTAATTTTCCCAGGTAGCCATGAGCTATGTTCTAAGCAAGCTCGGGTCGAAAACAGAGGTCGACAATGCAATTAGATGCACAGAAGATAAAGTTTTAGTGTTGAGATTTGGTAGAGAGAGTGACCAGGAATGCATGAGAGTTGATGATATAGTGAGTGGTAAATACTAGAGATGCTACCTGGACCAGATTGTTATTACCAAAATCGTTGATTCTTCCTCTCACCCGAAAAACATGTCATGTTTCAGTGTCAAAACATTCAAATGTTAAAATGTGAAATTATTTTTAGATATGTCGATATAATTTATCATGGACCGATCAGATGTTGCTATTCCCACAATGTTGATTTCATGACATTAGGAATGTGGTCGCATTGCTGAATGTCTTGACATGAAAACATCGCACATTCTCCCAAGCGAGATGATGTCATTCTACTCGGTTAATTATAACTATTTGCCCACGCATCCTGTCAGGAAACTTGCCCACATATCCTTTTAACCCTTTGACTAGCAATGCACATTATTTTACTCCGTCTAATGCCAGACGATTTTACTCGTCATGGTGATAGTGCTCCCACTCAATGGGTTAATTAGGTCAACTTTCATTCATTTTAGCTTGCCAAGACGAAGCAATCGCTTTCCAATATGGCTGAAATTTATATCATTCCTGCGGACAGTGTTCCAGTGTACGTGAAATATTTTGATATTACCCTTACACCAGCAACAATATTTTTCTTTAATGGCCAACATATGAAAGTTGATTATGGGTAAGTTCTTCAAAGAAATGTGTACTCAATGAAACTACATCTTTCTTCAATTTATTCATTTACCTCTAGATCGACACAAAACGTCTACATATAATGAAAAGAATCAACATCATTTGTTAAGAAATGTGAAATGGGTCATTCCAGAAAACATCTGTACCTCCTCTGCAGAAGGAAATTGGAAGTCAATTCCCCCACCCCCTTCAGATTCCTTAATACACTATTACCAGAAACAAATTTTTCTCCCTCCCCTTCTGGTTGGCAGAAATTTCAACCTTGGGGGAGTGTGGATCTTTTGTGGAATGGAACGACCCAATATTGCATAAAAATGTACACAAAAGTGTACCTATTTTTTCACATTGTCTATTTTCAGCACGCCAGACCACACAAAATTCATTGGAAGCTTCAAGACCAAGCAAGATTTTATCGACTTGGTCGAAGTCATATATCGTGGTGCTATGAGGGGAAAGCTAATCGTGACTTGTCCAATTGATCCAAAAAACATCCCAAAATATGACTTGTTGTACAAAGATATTTAAGTTTATTATTGCTGAACTATATGTATGTAAAAATGATAAAATAAAATTCTGGAGTGCATTCAAAATGTAAATTGTATGATATGGACCCTCGTCCTTTTGTGTTCTAATCCGCGTTATTTGAAACAAGCTGTTAACAACTTGTAACAACCTTGTTGATAGATTATCAGACTTATTGCAAGGTTGTTTCAACAAATCCGATACAGTCATGATATAATATTGTTACAACCTTGTGTCGTCAACCTTGTGACATTCTTGTTATTGATAATAATGACTGCATCAGACTTGTTGGAACGACCTTGTTAAACAAGTCTGATAATCACATCAAACTTGTTGCAAGTTGTTAACAGCTTGTTACAAACTTGTTACAACAACTTGGAACAAGCAGTGCGAACACAACTTGTCGACAGCTTGTGAACAGATTTGTATAACAACTTGTTTGCAGACCTGTAACAACTTGTGCGTTTTTACGTCTGTAGGGTGGAGTCAGTCTGGGAGATTATCGCTAGCTGAGATCCCGCAATTTTTTTCCTGCAAAGTTTAGGCGTTGGAAGCAGTTAAGTTGTTTGATTAGACATGCTTCAAAGCCAAAAATAGAAGACCTTTGCACGTTTCACCTCACAATGAACAAATTAACATGAACTGTGCACAAATTAACATGAACTCAGACAAAAACATAAGTCAATGACTTCTGTGTAGTTCCCGAACTATCGTATGAATGATATGTTCATATATTGATGGCTATGTTTACAGTAACTCTACTAAACACTGCCAATTTTATCCGGTAGCTCAATTCTCAACCTGGACTGAAAATTCCACTTGTAGTCGATCCCTAAGTAACGGTAAATATTATTTTCTTATATTTTAGAATTCTTAAGTGAATAATTGTCGTAAATGGACGATGTACACTAATTACAATGACGCCTATAAGTATTTCATGCATTGTGTAAAATCACTCAGTGATGGATTTCGAGTGGAATGACGTCATTGTGACATCATAGTAATGTCAAACAAGGTCTCTCGGTTGGTGTCCATCACACCATTATTGACTTGAACCCAAGTTAAATTAACGAATTTTATTTATAGCATAGCTCTATTTATCCTATATCAGTTCTGAACTGTTCACCATAGAGGTCCAGTGACAGTGAAAGTTTATGTGATCATATCTATGTGAATTTATCTATGCAAAGTTCCTATACTGTGATCACAGAAACTTTTTATAGTGTAAACCAGGAATTTTACGAAATCAAGCTTTTCTACATGTTGTATATGTTTTATGTAATACTCCCTGCAATAATTCAGCAGCCTAGCCCTAAAGCAATTACTTTTAAGTAACTTAAGTTTAATATGTGACGGATTAATAAGCTTAAATTTAATCCGAGGTTTAATCTTTTACAATACATGTTGCTGTTAATTAATACTCTTTTTACCTCGTTAGCAAGCTCAAAGCCAGACTATCGCCCGTATTCTAAAAGCTCACTCGCATTCAATGAGTGGAAGTTCAATCTGAGCTTCTCTCGAGTGTCATTGTTGTTTTTAATAGCAGGAGGGCTAGTGATGATCATACCTTCGGCTATGTGACTACTCACCCTCCAGCTATTCAAACACAGCATTGACACTCAAGCGGAGAAGCTCAGATTGAACCTCCACTCATTGAGTGTGAGTGAGCTTTTAGAATACGGGCGTCAATCTCACAATTGAAAAATCGGAGGAAAAGATTGAGAATTAAGAACGAGAATTGATTCGTTTCAGCTATTTTCCGTCTGAGAACTTAACTGATTTCCATCGGAATTACCGACACAGAGTGTCAGAGTCAAGTACCCAGTGTCAGGTCTCACTGTCTCAGCATCGACATCGTTGATATTGACGGTTTTCCGGAGTATGTTTTTAATGCGCACACGGAGTCTTTAAGAGTCTTTAAGTCTTTTTTATTTTCACAATTTATATTGTGATTGATGTTCACGGCGGATCCCTAAGTGAAAACGGCAAACTTCAAATCGCATCTGAAGAACTTCAAATCGCATTTGAAGATATATCTACAAGTTGTCGACATGGCTAATTCATGCGTCAGGTTTAATGTATAAATTGCCCCCAACTTCGAACAGTTAACAATTGACTTCAAAATACGATTTGATCGAAGTATCGTTTGTGTTTAGCAGTCCTAATGTCTCTAAAATGATGGTTTATAAAATACTTCACGCTTTTGAAACTGTTAAAAAATTTGATAATGTATCAGTGGAGCTATTTAATTAATTAGAGTCCGGAATGGATTAAAGCGCAAAAATTTTGAAATTAACTTACTGTTGGCGAAATCTTTCAACAGGAAGTCAGGAACCACTCCTTAAAGCAGCCCCTTAAAATTAAAAAGGTTAAACGTAGCGTAGTCACTAGGAAATATTTACCCTCAGCCATTGCAAATCATGTATAAAGACTAAAGTCTTATGTGGTAAAAAAAAACTGAAGAGTGAAGAAAGCTGCTAACCCTGTCGATAAGTAAAATTCTAGGTTAATATTTACCTGTTATTTTGTCTATAAAACTGTAGAAAAAGTTCAGTTGATCCAGAGAAGATTTTTGAGAAGAATATTTTTTTGAAGTGTTGGAAAGTTTGTTGTAAACTAGTTTGCGCACGGTAATGAAATTCGATGAAAGCACTTTATAATAATAACTACAGTGAAACACGCAACTTGATTTGATTGGTCAATAGCCGTGTAGGATCAGGCTATCCTACACGAGGAATTCTCAAAATGTCATTGTTTCACTGTAGTTATTTTATAAAACAATTACCAAATGGTTTTCCAAGCAGGATAGCGTGATCCACTATTCACTTGGGATGTTGCTCGACTTTCAACGGAAAGCGTAAATTTACACTCCCCTGCGGCTCGAGTATTTTTACGCTTTCCGAAAGTCTCGCGACATATGGAAAACCATTCGATCTGTATAGCCTTATAATAATATAGGCATTTGAAGTTGACGAGTCGCACACATGCAGAGAGGAGTAAATCCATTTCCCGAGTCAAATCCGAGTCAGTCCCGAGCCCGAGTGAAACGCCCGACTCGCGTAAAAAAAAGAGGAAAGTGAAGAAAATTCACAATCGAATAGGGTTAGGAGTAGGTTTAGGGTTAGGGTACTAAGTCATTTTACCGACAAAGACAGTTAAACAGTGACTGGACATTTGACTCGAACTCGGATTTGAGTCGGTCAGTAACCGACAAGCTCCGAAATTGAATAAAATTCACAGTTGAATAGGGTTAGGGTAAGTTAGGAGTGGGATTATGGTTAGGATTAGGGTACTAAGTCATTGAACTGCAAAGACCATCGATTAATTTAAGCAATGACTCGGACATTTGACTCGGGCTCGGTTTGACTCGGACTCGGATTTGACTCGGTTACTCTGACAAACTCATGCAGAGAGTCGGCACACGTTGTGAGTTGTGTACTTGAATTACACAGTAGAACTCAAATTGCCCCCAAAAAAACAAACAAAAAAAACAAAAACAAAAAACACAAAAAAAAACACGTTGGGAAACCATGGGAATTTGGGCAAATACTAGACCGAAAGTCAAGCTTAATTCCAGGCAGATCTATCAGAAAATATGTTAAATTCTGGTTATTTCATTACTGGCAATCTTCCATAAAAATTCGGGCAAGCTTTCGACTGCCCTGACCCCCCTGGAAAACATCAAAACTTGTCGGTAGGGTAAATGGTAGGAGAATGTCGAGAAATTGGAGTAGAATAAAACTCGTGATCTGTCTGATCTTTAATTGTTGGTTTACTTAATATGTAAAAAACTAAGTATCGTTCAACTGAAATCACGATACTTCATTTTTTAGACAAAGAAGATAATAATTATTAGTATAGTAATTACTAAAGTTACCATGAGAATCGAATCGATTTTACATACACCCACATCAGATTGGCAGGGGATGTCCCCTTCAGTTAGCCTTCATTAATGCGAAGGTCATTTTATTCAAACCACTATAAAGGATAGTATATTTTATCGCCCACGCGCTAATAACTACAACATTCCATGATTCCCACTGGCACTGTTCTGGTGCATTTTTTGGAAGGGCAAATATTTGTCTTTCACGGCGGTAAATGATATTTTTATAGTTTTCCCAGTAACTAAAACATCATGGTAAACACAGCTACTGGTCACTAGGGTACCAAAAAGAGGTTTCTGGTACTTAATAAATAATAGCAGACTGTAATCACGTGGAGTGTGTTTGGACGTGAATGAACGAAGCCTGTTGTGGTCAGATTATGTTAACTATTGAAATGAATTACCTTTTTTCTTTTACTCAGCTAAAAAGTAGAGAAGCCATGCCCCACTCCCCAGCTTCGCAGTTCCGCAATAGAAGTGCTTTATAGTGTATAACTTTCACCTGTGGCTCTGCCGAGGATTACCACCGTTTATTGCAGTAAAATTGAATGCCTATATACACAGTCACAGAAAACAGTTTACAACTGATAGAGCTATCGAGTCATTTAAAAATATACTTTATAAATATAGTTAATTAGGTTTCCTTTGCCTGCTCCAAACAAAGCCTGACGATTTTCTCACACTATAAAATGGGAAGAGATTAGGAAAACCTTGGCAGCAAGAGATTAATGATAAAAATCTCATTTATTGTTTCCCTTCCACAGCAATAAACCGACTGATTTCGTCCAACGTCTGACGATGTGCATGGATTGTGGAAGTGCTCGGCGAACGTGAAATACACTATTTTCGTCCATAAGAACACAAAATTTCACGATCAGGCCTGAGCATTTTTATCAGTTTTTTGACAAACTTGAGACCAAAAATATTCTTACGACGTTCACCACATTCTTAGCGGATTACGGAGTACAGTTCACTGAAGGTATTCCAATACATGCTTGCATCACAGAGAGTATAGAGGAGCGATATTCAACCGCGACATAAATTAGCATTTCGAACGTCTTACATTGTAAATCACAGTAGGAAAAAGGGTAAGGGCCGGTAAGGCGCTGCAGTTTTAGACGGCTACTTTTCATAACATTGTACCGAACTAAATACTGAAAAAATTAGTAACAAAACTTCGGTTGGTAGAAATGCAACTACCTGTAACATTTCGAACACTAGCTTCGTCGGGAAGTGAGTAGCCAAATTGGTATTTTTATCACGATAAGCCGTCTAAATCCAATTGGCACGGCAGTTTGAATTTGGTTCGACCGGCTTGCAATTAACTTCGATCGAGTTAGTCGTACTTATTATAATGTATTTAGATCAGCAGTAAAACAGCTTGCTAATTTCATGTGTCGGACTGAACTATTTTTACTATTCATGCAAACTTTTTCGACATACAACTTAATAAATTGGTTCGCTGTGAATGCAGTAAGGTCGAACCAAATGAGCATTCACTTCGGCACAAGAAAGTATGCCGTCTAAAACTGGCCTGAAATATTAATCACATTTCTATTGACCTTGTAATATTCTCCATACATAGCCTGCGTTGCGGTTTTAGGGTTCGGGTTGGCGCCTCGCGCCTCCCTAAATCGCGCATCCCGGGTCCCGCATCTCAACCCGATCGAGCTCCTAGCTTCAAAATCGCCAGCTACGCAAGTCTATATTTTCAACAACAATATCGGGTTAATTGGCCTCGATCTAGCCTACGGTGTAGACCCCAGCAGAAAAACGTTTCTAGCCTTGATCTATCTCGAGTCAGTTCAGATCTGAGAAACCTATAGCCACAGAGATTACTGTAGCGATACACTGTGACATGTGCTAATGATTATACTGGCTGTGATATCAACATGCGTCTGTACAGGCAAATTAATGAAGGAGCTGTTAAATTCATAGTATCTTAGTTATGGAGGATTAAATTACTAGTTTACAAAACTGAATGAGATACATCGTTTAACCGCATCAGGACAAAAGTCAAAACAAACTGCTGAGTAACAGTTTTAACAACTTTTCAACATTTAGGGACTAATTTGGGTCATGGGTAATTCCGGCAAAACATTAAAGCTATGTGTACAATTAAACATTGATACGATTCGAACTGGTTAGGACGATTTTCATAATGTGAAATAAAATTCGAAATATTTTTTGAATTGCTCTAAATATAAATTCTATAAACATCATTAGCTTGTCTAGACTTGAGTTATTTTGTAAGTTTGAAACTACCCAACAAGGAGCTAGATTGAACTAAAATCAACCGCCAGTCAATGTAAATATGACACACCGGATTTGAAACAAATTAACACAAAAAATATCATAGAACTATATATATAAAAGCCAAGGAGAAATATAATAAAATTCTGCATACCTATATATATATACTTATAATTAACTACATGGGTTTATTGGAATTGTAGTTTGTGCGGTTATAACCAGCAAAAGAATCTTGATGTCCGCTTATAGTCCTTATAGGACGCCCGAAATTCAGAGAAACATTTGAGCGACACCTTATATTTATAATCTAGAAAAATCAATTGGCATTGTTCCCTTTGTTGGTTCTGTAGAGCGACCACAATCGCACGCCAGATATTATTTCCTATCTCAAACAGTCGGCCTCTTCTCGACCCAATTACGCACTTTCAAGGAACAGTCTATTAGCTGTAAATAGCGCTAAACATTAAGCAAGCAAACAGTTATAATGTACTTTACTTACAATAACCAAACGGTCGCTTGTAATTCTCCATGTTATAAACCTGACACGTTAGGACAAGAGCAGGCTGGAATTTGGATGAACTTTTTTTCAACCCGTCGGCAGAAAGAGATTTTCAATCTTAGACTTAACCTTTTAACCTTCAATGACGAAGGCAAAGAGAGATATACGGTTGTTTGTCGTAGCTTGTATTTATACTCCTTTCCGGCCTAGTATAGGTAATTGATCTCGAAAGCCATGGTTCCAGAGAGGCGATTTCCTCTCAGCGAAACTGTGCTTTAATTTTCATAATTAATTGTGCCGCACCAACGGGTTTTAGTTTTTTTCTACCCTAAACAAGAAGTTGTTTCACCGGGGGCAAGAGCGGTTCATGTTTGACTCAACGAAATGGAGGATGAGAATTGATGAATGTTTTGAGATGTTTGATCCATTGCAAAAGTTGTTATGAACGGTTATGCCGAATATGTACAGTGTGACCGAACAAAGTTTCCGTATGACAAGTTTGCCGTGGCTTTCTGGCCGACAGGATAGGTGCAGTTATTATACCGGGCGTCCTCCCTCCCCCCCCCCAAAAAAAAAAAAAACCAAAAAACTGGACACTGTTTGATCTCATGTAACGTAAAAGCTATAAAAGTTATCGCAATGAAATAAAGATCATTGCATTCAGAAAGGACTAACTTAGATTTTGATATATAACACTTGAATTTACATGGAATATTCACTGCGCTGTTGATGTTTGAACATTGAACTGCTGTTTTTGAAAATGCGAAAAATTAGCATAAAACAACCTTATAATTACCGATGCATTTATACTTGTTAAATAATAAATTTAATTTTTTTTTTTTTGGTTGTATCTCGCACAATCAGATTGCATGTAAATTCAGGTGCTATATATCAAAATCTATAAGTTAGTCCTTTCTGAATGAAACGATCTTTATTTGATTGCGATAGCTTTTATAGCTTTTACGTTGCATGAATCGAAACCAAACAGCGCATATGTCCAGTTTTTTAGTTGGAACAACAAAAATATAGATCGCTGACCAACCCCGCGTGGCGTGCCAATTACTTTGCCAAATTTTCTTTGTTGACCAATAGTGCAGATACGAACAAAATTTGTACTTTCAGCCGTGCAATTTTTTCTATGACAGGTCAATGAAACTTGTTCAAAAGCTAGTATACTAGTACGTTTCATATTAAAAAGTCAGCAGACGGGCAAATCGGTTCAGTGGAACTTGTCTCAAGCCGAACTGCCGAAAACGAGGATCTAAACGGTTGTACGTGATCTGAAAACCTTTTTTCAAAAGAAATTGAGGAGCAAATTATGCAAAACGAGAAGATTTTGTTTTTGTGGATAAATCACCTCATCATATACATTAAACATTGTTTATAAAGGATAGCTCTATATCAGTCATCTCCAGGAACTGTGATTTCCTTGAGATTAAGTAGTAAGGGCCACCACACCTTGTACATACAAGGGATTTACTTAAGGAGGAAACGTAATACTAAACTAACTTTATTTATACTAGGAAATTCTGTCAATCTGTTCCAGGTGGGGGTTTCGGGTCATCTCTAATCAGCTGTCTAATGTTACTTGAACAGGAGGAAATCGATAGACTAATTTTATTTACACTGGAAAGCTCTATCCGTTTTGAACAAGCCTCGCCCTAGAAAAGGTCCAGTAAGGGTCATCTCTTATCGGTGCAGTGTTACTACAGGTGTTTGGTAGAGTCAAATTGTAAGCACTCTTCAGTCACATGCGACTGTAACCTGAGTATCAGGCTCTATTTTACAAATAGAGCCTGACACAAAACTTAACCTGATCGCTTTCCGCCCACAGCAAAGTTTATATTTAGTATCCAATCAAAATGTCGCAGGAGAAATTTAAATTTCACACAACGACAACAACAATCTAATTATAGCATAGGCGCTCACTAAACGGCTGAATTTAAATTAAAACTGCAATGAACTTATAAAATTAACAAAAATAATCACAAATTAGCGAAATATATTGCAAATGTAGCTTATATTAAATCGCCACCCGATTGCTCTCTCCTCCGCAGAGGTTTCAGTGACTACAATGAGCTTTACAGGGCGCTTGCCGTATTTATCAACAAACTGACGTATAATTATAAAGTATACTTTATAACTATACATCAGTCGATAGTGCAATCTGATGGCGATTTAATATAAGCTACATTTGCAATATATTTCGCTAATTTGCGATTATTTTCTAATTTTACTGCAGTTTTAATTTAAATTCAGCCGTTTAGTGGGCCGGCTATAATTGTAGTTGTGATCGTTATAAAATATATCAACAACAATAGCAGAGAACAATAGTATAATCTCATTAGCACCAGCCAATCAAATGACAGATTTAAGAATCGTTTGTCCAATCGGCCAATCAGCGCTCAGTCCAGATTCTGGACTGAACAAACCAGGCAAAATGCCACTTTTGTGTCAGGCCGTACTTTTCTCCCCTTCGCCCACGATCAGGCGTGCCTGTGCCCTAAAAAGTACGGCCTGATACTCAGGTTACATGCGACTGAGGCAAAATTATACAATTGTTATATATTAGTATATTGCAGGACACCAACATCCCAAAAGCGTTCCAGTATAAATAAAGTTAGTTTAGGTTTCCTCCTTGATAGTAGCCATAGGCGTACCGGGCGGGGGGCGGGGGGGGCGGTAGCCCCCCCCCAGTTTTTTGGGCAGTCGGGCAATATTCGATCAACAGTCGGGCAATTTCGGTTTGCAATAAAAAAAAATGGGACAAATTCTGTCAATTTTGTCTAAAATTAAGTAATTTTTTTGGGAAATTTTGTGATTTTTCGAAAATTTGTGTTATGTTCCGAAAAATATTGGTTGTCCAGAAAATTTTTTTGACCCCTAAAATGGTACACTGACCGAAAATTTTTTGGCGACAAGGGGGGGGGCGGGAGGTCGTCAACATAATTTTTCCGGAAAAAAATTTTGGTACTAGTCGGGCAGAATCCCGAAAAGTCGGGCAATTTTCTTTCCGCCCCCCTAATTTTTTCCTTCCGGTACGCCCATGATAGTAGCAGTTCATGCAGAAACCCTAAATAAAGATGGCTCTTAGGAAAGCCTCACATATCGATTTTGTCCACGAGAAACGTCTGCATATGGACGTTTGGCGGCTGGGGTGGAGGGTTTGCAGCTGTGACGTTTCTCTGTAAAACAGTCATCATGGAAAAATTGGATAGTTTTTTCGAAAGCCTTAACATTTTAGAATCATCTTTGCAGATTATAAAAAAGAAAACAACTTGATACAAACACCAGTCCATACATTCGTAATACCATACCTGTTCTATATATTTATATTATTACGCCTTCCTTGCATGCATTGAAAATACTCAAATTTCAAGGAAAAACGCACTAAAATTGTCATTTCACGCAAAAAAGTTGTTTTGAGAAACCGTTGGAAATTTTTAAGTTCATATATTAATAAAAAAAACATATGTCAGCAGAAGATGGCGTACTCCTCGCGGAAGCATCGGCAATAGCCGACCGTAGAAAATAGTAGAAAATTACCTTATGTGTACTATAACTACAAAATATCGATAACTATGTGTGACGTTTCTAAGGGGTGGGGTGGGGGTCTCCAGAGAAACGTGATATGACGTTTCTCATGGACAAAATCGATATGCGTGGCTTCCCGCTTCCCTTACTGAACCCAGGAAGAACAGCTTCAAACCGATGGAACTATATCCAGTATAAACAAAGTTTGTTTGGTTTAGGTTTCCTCCAAACTCGTCCCCAGGGCCTTCGTGGGTTTCCTCCTGTAGTGACACTGGACCAATACGTAATGAACTCTATAGGGAGAACCGTTTAAAACTGATCGAGCTACTAGTATACAGTTGTATAAATAAAGTTTGTTTAGGTTTCTTGCCGAGTGTAGGAACAATGCACTTATAGTACACCCAGGGAAAACAGTTCAGAGCTGATAGAGCAATCCAGTATAAATAAAGTTAGTTTTGTTTAGGATGCGCTTGTTTTGAAGGAATGTTTTCTTCATAGCATGCGCGCGCAGTCAAACTGTGACTTACCAGGAGGTATACGCATGCGCCTTATATGATTGAAAAACAAAATTTCATGACATCACAATTACTCATATATCATCGAAAACCTGAATAAGAATCAAAAGCAACTACAACGGAATATATGAAAACAAAAATGAAACCAGCTCCAAAGATGCAGGATGAAGAAGCCGGCTCTTCAAGTTGTGACTTGAACATAATTGTCGAAGGAAAACAATACGGTGCCCATTGGTACATCTTACGCGAGAAATCCAAGTTTTTTGAGGAATTTTATCGCCGAAAAAATGGAAGGAAAAAGTCTATTGACGGGACCAAAACGTGCGTGCATTTGCGAGGAGTGAGTTCGAAGCTAGTAGGCCTGTTTTTACAATATGTCTACACGAATAGCTCAAAAAATGATGAACACTTTCAACTTGATTTGAAGGAGATTAATGACGTTCTCAAATTTAGCATAATGTTTGGATTGAAAGATTTGGAAATGGGAAAAAGTACGGGTTTGGACGTGGAAGCACAGCTAGGTTCTTCAGAAATAAAAGCGCAGCGAATGAGCGAACTTCACAGGAATTTATTGCTGTTTCTATACGCCAAAACTGCAGTGTACAAGACAAGTGATATAGCAAAGTTTGTGGCACACAAAGCGTACACAACCGCAAACATGGAATGTCTTTTTGAGGTATTGAAAATTCTGAGTTGTAATGGTGAGAAGATGGCGATGCGTCTCAGACTGCTGGATATTCTGATCACGTTGTTCACGGTTAGTTTGGATCAAGATGTGATAGAAGTTGATATGAAAGGACCTGAAGTGGTTGCAAAGGATTTTAAGCCTGGCAGGTCTAAGGAGTTTGATACTCAAAGTACAGGTATAAATACATGAAGTTTTTACATTGATAGCATTTGGTTTACTGTCCGAAATGGTATTATGGTATTACCTCTATGACTGCTCCGTTCGACCTGCCAAACAGCGCAGGCTTTTGTCGGGTATTCCAGTTCCCTTTATATTAGCTAGACCGGAGATTTCCCTTACTGGATCTCATGGGAGAACAGTTTTGGAACTGATAAAGCTATCCAGTATAAATAAATTTAGTTTAATTTCGGTTTCAACACAGGACTAGAGATGTACATTACTGGACCCGCTCTAGGAAGAACAATTTTGAACTAACATACAGACCCATCCAGACGATCAAGTATTAATGAGTTTGAGTTTATCGAGTTTCTCACTTATTGGTGAGTGGATTTTCCAACAAGCTACTGCCCAATTAATTGATAAGATCTGATAAGGGGTCCGAGATACCTGCGATTTAACGTCCTTATCAGAGAAGACGCGAAAGTGTCACCATTTACCAATGGCAATGTAGGAAAGATAGCTCTTTCTCCTCAATTACTTTAAGACCTTGAGTAGAGGTCCGACCGAGGCTTGAATCCGGGTCTTCTAACAAGAGGTTGTTATATTAATCAACCGGTGACAGAAGTTCCGAAAGAGGAATGCATATCTTCGCCAGTCCTGGTACCTTTATCCAAAGTTTTAATTAACGATAAAACAAACCACACCTAAAAAGTAATCGCAACCAAGCAACGTCTTCAGGTACTGGAAATCTTCTTTCAATTTTGCGGATTTCATTCCAGAAAAAAATTTAATCCTTTCCACTTTGGTTATAATCTTGTTATCAAGTATCACCTTTTAATCTGATATCACGGTTGCCGAAACTTTTGTTTTATCAGGTTTAGAATTCGAGTAGGGATCGTATTCCCGCTTGACGTCACAGGTATGGTGTTAGGATTAAGTTTTGCGCGCATACGGTAAGCGGCGACGTCAGGACGACGGCTATCAATCATATAGTATAAAGGAAATGAATAATTAAAAAGTCTAGCAGGGGTTCTGAAGGTTAAAGCTCTGTTTTACTCGTTCGATCACAGTAGGAATTTTGCATAGGTAAATTGTATGTTTTGAAGAATTTGTACGAAATGTTTGAAGGAACTAACTCATTGTTAAACACTCAGTCAGTCCCCTCAAACATTTCTCACAAATCCTTCAGAACTTAGAATTTACCTATACAAAATTCCTCCTGTGATCACAGAAACTTTGATAGTGTGAACTAGCTAGCTTTTGTATGACCTGATATTTTGCATCTCTTTCATCAAGGGAAAATCAAGAAGACGTTGTTTTTGAAACCTGGATTAGTTACCGAGACTGCAAATCCGCAGAGAAATGGTGCAAAATGTAAACATTCAATTGACCACCAAGGAAATGACACCAACCGAAAATTCTCACCTAGTCAAAATTCCAAGAAAGTGAATGAAAACAAGACTACAGAAGGACGAAACGCGAATAGCAACAGGATTTCGAAAGAGATGACTGAGCGCCAAGGAAAGGGTAATGACAATAATTTTATGATCAGTGGAAAAGCTCGTCCCAAACCAAAACGAAGCAAGCAGTTATGTTCAAAGCCAAAACGTTCACCTGCGAACAGGCGCATCGCCTTAATTAAAGAACATCTTGAACGCATCAACGAACATATTGAACGTGAGAACGCGCAAGGGAAACGTGCTCACGAAGAAAACGCATCGGCTAAATCTCGCATTCCACAAAACAAGTCTGCTGTGCGAGATAACGGACAAACTAAACGCATAGGAAACAAATTTGCGCGCGTTGATATGCCAGAAACTCGTGTTGTAAAACAATCTGTCCGTGTTGAAGACAATACATCCCGCGAGGATAAACACGTCTATTCTTCTCAAGAACACGTTTTTGGTCAAGATGGACACGTTCTGTGTGATGATGAGCACGGTCTAGACGACGAAGGACACGTTTCAGGTGGCACAGAACACGTTTTAGGCGACGAAGAACACGACGTCCGAGGCAATAACGAACGTGCTTGTTTCCACGGTCACGTGCACAATTCCACTCTGACACGTGAATACAAAGAAGTTGCATGTGACACAAACATGATGAGAAAAGGACAAGTTAATGAAATGCTAAAAAGTATGAATGATATGGATGATAGAATGCCTGAGTCAAACTACGATCAAGAACCCGCCATTATTACGAGAAAGATTCGCAAAATGTGGACGAAAGATTTTCAAACCAATTTTCCAATAATACAATCTCAAGACGACAAAAAGGCATACAATAAAAAAGGTCTGGACCAAAATCCCAAGAGCGCATGTAACGAAGGAATTCCTAACAAAAATTCTGAAATAGAACAACAGCCCTTGAAATGTGAAGAAGTCGTACGGGAAAGAATTTATCTTACCGGTGGAATACAAAAGGATGATTATTTTGCCCACAAAGCCATTCTTGAGTTGAACACAGAAACGGGGACTTACACAACCCGCGAGGCAATGTGTTCAGGTCGTTATAACCATGGCATCGCTCAACTGGGAAACGAAATCTACCTTGTCGGAGGCAACTCGGGTTTCTTCGAGCAGCTACGTAGCGCCGAGAGCTACTCTCCGGAACACGAGCAGTGGACGATAAAACCTAGCATGCACGAGGCACGTGATGAATTCTCATTGGCTGTCTGCGATGGATCTTTGTACGCCATTGGTGGACACAATGGTATCCAGGACTTGCGTAGTGTGGAGAGATTCGACGCGCGGGAAAATTCGTGGAGGTTTGTTTCTCCGATGAGGAATTATCGAGCTGGGGCTTGCGCAGTTGCTGTCGACAATAGGTAGGTTGATAAGTTGTCAGTTACACTTAAGTAACTATTTTTACACTAAAAAGCTCTCCATTACTTCTAAACTGTTCTCTATAGAGGTTTAGTATTAAGAGTCGTCCACTGTGTACCACTGTGAAACTAGTTTAGTTAGTTTACTTATTTTTTTATCTTTTTCATTCCTTAGATCTATTTACGTTATTGGAGGCTTTAATGGACAAACATATCTCACGAATGTGGAACAATATGATGTCACTGCTGACGTATGGATCGAAATCCAACCGAACAACATCAAGCGCGCTTACTCGTGCACAGTCCTTTTTGAACACGGTATCTACATTTTTGGCGGGTTCGATGGCCAATCTGCGCTTTCCTCGTGTGAAATGTACGATATAAAAGCGGGAGCTTGGGAAACTCTCCCAGACATGCACACCCCCCGTATGAACGCGACAGCAGTGGCATATACAGGGGGGTTGTTCGTATTTGGTGGCGAATGCGACAGCGTGTTTCTCGAGACTGTTGAATGTTATAACATGAAGAACAAGACATGGAGTTTCGTACACCGCTTACCTCAACCGATGGCCGGACTGCGGGCTTGCGTATACATTAGAGGAAACAGAGACTCAAAAAATAGTGGAAATTAGATTGTAATAGATGTATTATTAGGTGGAAATAATTATATATACTTATTCCTAGCCATGTTTCCCAAAGATGAGCAAGCCAGTAAACATTGTTTCCTAGCCATGTTTCCCAAAGGTGGACAAACCAGGAAACATTGTTTCCTAGCCATGTTTCCCAAAGGTGGACAAACCAGGAAACATTGTTTCGTAGCCATCTTTCGCAAAGGTGGACAAACCAAGAAACATTCCTTCCTAGCCATATTTCCTGAAGGTGGGCAAACCAGAAAACATTGTTTCCTAGCCGTCTGTCGCGAAGGTGGACAAACCAAGAAACACTCCTTCCTAGCTATGTTTCCCAAAGGTGGGCAAGTACATTTTACGGTTCAACATTTATTTCATTTCTCTCCACTGGTTAAGCTAAATAATACATCTCATTTCTAACATAGCAGTTCAGTATATTTAATTCTACTTTATGCCGGAGTTCTTCATTGTTTGTGATTTGAAATATCCTTCCTTTCCAACGACGACAAAAGGAGAACCTTTATACTTTGCTACGTATTCTTCATCCGTATGCAGATCAGGTTGAATTTTTTCAAAAATCTAAAATGAAAACACAAAAATTTAATAGTACAATCGTTCTTTACAGTATAACTACAATAAGCTGCCGTCAGTGGTTTGTATCTGAACTACCTGAAAAAGATATCTCAAATTGGTGGAGGTCCAGTGTAGGTAGTATTTTACAATAAGCTGCCGTGGTTTGTGTCTGAACTACCTGAAAAAGATATCTCAAACGTGGTGGTCCAGTGTAGGTAGTATTCTACAATAAGCTGTCGTGGTTTGTGTCTGAACTACCTGAAAAATATTCAAACGTGGTGGTTCAGTGTAGGTAGTATTCTACAATAAGCTGCCGTGGTTTGTGTCTGAACTACATGAAAAAGATATCTCAAACGTGGTGGTCCAGTGTAGGTAGTATTGAATCTGGGAACAGATATCTCAAACGTGGGGACAAGCGTAAGTACAGATTTCTTGTACAATTATTAAAATCTCTCCCCCCTTACCTTTTTCTTTGGGTTCAACTGTTCGTCTGGTGTTCCAGGATATCCCTCACATATTACTTTATCTCCTGGAACTGAGCCGGGGGGTGGGTCAAGAATTTCTACAAGTTCTGGTGAGGAGGCACACATAACCATGGCTTGCGAAAAAATACCTCGCATTCTACAGTGGAAAAATATCGAGTTGGTTTTGTTGTTTTTGATTTGTAGATGGCAGCGGTTTCACGGCTATTGTTATTACTGTTGTCAGCCTGTCCTATGATTGTTGATTCTAGTGCTCTTGTTGCCATAATGCAATTGTTGTTGTTGACTTGTTGTCGTTGTTTGTTTGTTTGTTTGTTTGTTTGTTTGTTTGTTTGTTTGTTTGTTTGTTTGTTTGTTTGTTTGTTTGTTTGTTTGTTTGTTTGTTTGTTTGTTTGTTTGTTTGTTTGTTTGTTTGTTTGTTTGTTTGTTTGTTTGTTTGTTTGTTTGTTTGTTTGTTTGTTTGTTTGTTTGTTTGTTTGTTTGTTTGTTTGTTTGTTTGTTTGTTTGTTTGTTTGTTTGTTTGTTTGTTTGTTTGTTTGCTTGTTTGTTTGTTTGTTTCATAAACTTACTTTACTGGCTTTAGATTACATAAAGTCATAACCATACGATCCTGACACAAAAAATAAAATTCGAATTTAACGAACAACTTCTACCAGTAATATTTGAGAGAAACATTCTATAAGAATTAAGAGTACATATCTAACCTGCATTTTTTCAAGCGGAATGTGTTTAACAAGGCCACTAATGACGGTACGTGGCTTCTCTTCCCCAATATCAACTACAAGAAGGAGTCTTGTTAATCAGGTTGATAACAGTAATCTTCACTAAGGGGGCCCACATTCAAAGTTTTTAAAATCTTTTGAAGGCTGACAAGTGACAATAACTAACACACAACAACGGTTATCAAATCGTGCAGGATGCGATAATTCCAATATTATGTATGCTTTGATACACTTCTTTGTTCTCAGCCTCATACCATGTAGGTATGCCAAACTTTCGCTATTTGCATACTTGCTGGTACCATATATGACCTTTCCAAGCCCAAGGTATTCAAGCTGTATTGCGCCCTAATGGACCATACTTTATTATTTTACTCTGTCTAATGCCAGACGATTTCACTTATGAAGGGGAGACCGCTGGCAATCAATGGGTTAAAAGACTAAGTTATACCTGGAGTGACATCTTAAATTTGTACCAGTTCAAGTACAAGGCAAAAAGCATTCAAGTGCCAGTCAGGTACAACTAAAACTCTTATCGCGCCATGTCGTATATACATACTTTCCTCCAAGTAAAGTGTATCAGCGTCAGGATGCTTTTCTACTTTGACAATTTTTCCAACTCTCAAATCTAGCCGTGAAGCATCAACCTCTCCACCTGCTGCACCCTCTGAAATTAACAAGATTGCTCAATTATGTGTTGTTTAAATATTACATTTGGTGAGATTTGCAAGATAGTCTAAACACAAGGCAAAGTAGCTAAAATGATGCAATTTATATTGGCAATAGTCTAATGAACATGTGGTGCCTGATATTATTCTGATAATTCATTGCCATATTATATATATGCTGATATTCAATAGTTCATAAAATAGCTATGAGGATATGTTTTTCTAAAAGGGAACCATGCATACCTAAACTCTCTGGCATTAATTATTGTATTAAAACCTGTTTGCTATTTGTGCTGCAAAATTGATGCATGTAAATGAGTAGATCAGTTATAAATGTTCTGAGTGAGCGAGTATGTACCCTCATCTGAACATTGATAATTCATCTGCTTTGTTCACTTCCATCAGGGGCCGTTTCTTCCAAGCCAATACGCTTAATCTTGGGTTACGGTAACCTAA